TCAACTGTGATATCCTAAATAGAGGGAAGAAAATGTCTGCTGAGCTCTGTGAATGCAGTGAGGGTAAAAAGGCTGCCTGGTTAATTATGCTGAACGTTTTCAGATGCTTCTTTCTTTTGCTTCGTTGACTGAAAACAAGATTTTCTGTAACCTGTAATACAAGTGTATGTTGCAAAAGCGTAAGAAGAAAAAAGTTTTAAAATGATGTTGTCTGTTTCATTCTCCCCAAGAAAGGGAGTTCCGTGCTCCATCTTTGGGATCTTTGGAAAATTGCATGAAGCTTTCCCAGATGACTGTCCAGGGGCTTCAGCAGTTCAAGTCTCCCCTTTTACAGCTGCCTCACATTGAAGAGGACAATCTTAGGCGAGTCTCCAATCATAAAAAGGTATAAAACTACCAATGATACTTGCTAACTTCTTAAAATGCTCCTGTCAGTTCTACCTATAAGGAAGCGACGTTGTGAATTAACTAAGAGAACAAAAATGTATTTTTACAGAATTCAGTCCAATACTTCCTAGATGATCTGTGTGCTTTTTGTTTCTCTAAAGTCTTAATCTAGTTTGATAGAAAATATATTTAGAAGACAGCACAGAGGGGTTCATAAAAGGAAAAATTATCAATTACTGTGAGAAGTGTTTCAGGTTTTGTAATCCTTTATGTATGAAAGAGGGTGCTTTATAAAATAAAGTTCTTGCTATCTAGTTGTACTTTGGTAAGTGTGGGTGTTTGAACTTAAGGGCAGAAAAGAATAATCTTGTTTGGATACCTGCATACCTTTCTTCACTTGGTTTCACTGACTCTGTATTAAAATCTGCTTCTTCGTTTGACTGTAGTAAGTCTTCTGGGAATGTTTGCTTAGAAAGAAGCAGTTGTCTTCCAGGAGAAGCTGTTGACTTTCCTGATAGTCTCATTACAATGGTTAATTTGGATCTATCTTTAAAATATTCCTTTTATATAATGAAATTCTTGTTTAGCTTTAACCACAGCCTTAGGGGTTGTTTAAGTGCTTCTGTGTTACTGTGAAGATAATTCTTAAGTGCTGCATTTTTTTAATCCTCTTTGAAGATGCTTCTTTGTCACGTAGTCTTTTCCTTTGGATGAAGTAAAAGAATCATTCTCTTATAGGTATCATCAAACGCTTTTCTTAATGCAGCCCTGAACTACAAGGAACATAGAAAGATGTACACAATTTTAGATGTATTTTTTGATATATGCAATGTAATTAAGCACAAAAATCAAGAATTTTGGTATCTCCAATTCCACCTGTCCTTCCCCTGAAAAAGGGAAGAGACCAATTTATCAGGTGCTTTTTTTACAGGGTTCCTATGCACTGAGCTCTTAAACAAAACCCCAAATCATAGAATGATTTGGGTTGGAAGTGACCTCAAAGATCATCTAGTTCCAACTCCAGCAATCCCCTAGACTAGAGTTATGATGAGTCTTCCTGGATGCAGGAAGTTGGTTTTAATAAAATACATACATTTGTAACAGTGAGGTAATCAGGTATTGGGACATCTGTCTTTATTTTATCCTTTTAGCTCTGCTCTGCATATCTCAAAATGAATGGTTTTAGATTTGCTTGCAGTTCAGGATGGAGGAAAAAAGAAAAGTGACTTGTACTTAGTTGTTCCTGCTAATATAAGCACTGAAGTAATCTAAATAAAGAACTTGATTAGTAAGATTTCTTGGCTCAGCTTTCTGAAAAAGCTGGCTGAAATGATAGTTCTATAAGAAATACATTTGATTTCTAAGGGGTGACATGCTAAGGAACCCACCAATGTTCAAAGCAGTGCTATCTAGTAGGTTTGAATGCAACCTCTTGTTTTATTGTTTCTCAAAACATAGTTTCCTGAAGTATGGTGTTTTTTTTTTCTTTTTTTCTTGCAAGATCAAATGCTGTATATGTATTAGTAACATGGGCACACAAGTGATGAATTATCAGGAGTTCATGGACTGTGCTCTCTGCTAACATGTGACTTCCTTTTTCCTTTCTTCAAAAAATTCAGTATAAAATCAAAAGTATTCAGGATTTGGTGAGTTTGAAAGGTTCTGATCGTCGCAATTTACTGCACTTCCTAGAAGACAAGAAATACGATGAAGTTATGGCTGTCCTTGGCAGCTTTCCGTATGTCACTATGGATATAAAACCACAGGGTGAGTGGGAAGTCCTTTTGTTCTGTATATGTTGCTCCTCTGACATTTTGATAATCTGTTGGCAGTAAGCTTTTGGAGGATGCTGAAGGAAAACTGTTATTTATGTAGCCTGGAAATGACATTTTTTTGAGTGGTGGGCTCTTGGATGTGAGATTTATAGTCTGAGGAGATAAAGTAACATTGAAACATTCCATAGAATCCCAAAGCAGCAATAGTTTCTCCTGCAGGAGCTTATCTGATACTTCATCTGTTGATTTAATATTTCATGAGCAGTTTGGAACTCTGGTTGAAATACCACTTTTATTAGCTATCTTCAAGTTGTGCTTATTCCAGAATTTATGCTCACGGCTTACTCCAGCATGGAGAGTCCTTTGTGAGACTCTGACGACTAAATATTCATGGGTTCCATTGTGATAATCCTTGTACAATTTTTATGTCTGGCGGAATTCATCCATGCTAGGTTTAGCTACCTTTTTTGCGCCGTTTCAATAAATGTGTGATGCTCTTCCTCTCTGAAGATGAGGTATGGTGTTAAGCAGTTCCTGTTAGGCAGCCTTTCAGTGGAAAGTGAATGAGGTCCTGCGGTCTCCTTTCCTTTGTAGATCAGTGCTAATAATGCGAGATACTTGGAAAGTTACTCTAGTACTTATTTCTCATTGTTACTGTGGTTGCAGCAATCAGATTGAAAATGTGGTATCTTTTGTTCAGATAACCTAATTTGTAATTTGGCTTGTGCATGGTCCTCTGTGAGAAGCACATGTCGATGGAAATAGCTGTTAAGGAAGACGATATCTGTTAACCTTGACATTTCTAAATGTTGTTTATATGTTTTTTTTAAGAACAAACAAAAGACTTTATCTTATTGTAGCACAGTACCTTCCCATGTTTTGGCAAGCAGCCCTTTTCTGCCTGTACAAGACTGTACTCAGGTGTGGTATGGAGGGATAAACAATGCATGTGCTTTTTTCGTTTAGCTCTGTATTATCATTATACAATATGTACTTGTCGTGGTTTG